TATTATTTTAAAAATATTAAATAATACAATCATTATACAAGTAAAATATATATTAGACCTTTTTTTCCTGCAACTAAGTTTTGACACCTTTTGAGCTCTTGTTTTCTGTTGTACAATTCATTTTCAATTCACAAACCAATTACTCGTTTTAGTCGTTGTGTTTGGTAATATCCCAATACAAAGTCAAGAACTTTTGATGAAAAGTTGTCCAAATGAATTGATCGTGACAGACTGCGAGCACAAGATATTTGGCAGTCATCGACAAATAAAAGGGCGCTCGCCTTGAAAATTCCCTTGCACAGAAGCTATTCAATTAAGGTAGGGCTCCTCCTGTTGATCTTGAAGCCATGATAATGGCAAAACTGGAAAACCTCATCGGTTCTTTGATAGGCAAGAGAGAAATAGAAGATAGAGAAAAAAATAAACAAATACTATTTTGGGCAATTTGATAATTATGATGTTTCTTTTGCTTTCGTGCTTTTTGAGACGGGATGCAAAATTAGTATATTTATACTGAATTATGATTAAATTTTAAGATATATTTAATTCACAAAATAGAAAAAAATGAAATAAAATAAATAATCACAGAAAATATTGTTATTTAATTTAGTTAATAAAATAGAATAGAGTAAAAATTACTATTATAACTTATTGTTATCTTTTATTGGTAAAAATAATTTTAAAATAACAAAAAAATATGTGACAAAAATACAACAATATCATTTATTATAATATATCATTATTTTATTTTAATTATTTATAATTTATAATTAATAGTTTTTTATTTTTAATTTAAATATTATTATGATTAAAATATTAATAATTTAAAATATTATTCTTTATAATATATAATTACAAACTTAAACTGATTTATTTTCACCAAAAACAAAACCACTCTTTATATAATTTAGTAAAATATTTACCAAAAGACAATTAAATAAATTTTTTCTTTTTTAATCATTTAATTTTTATTTTCATAAAAACATTAAAGTTTTAATAATTTATTATTAAAGTATTAGTATGATTTTTTTTAATTTTTTCTTTGTTTGTATTTTTTATTTTTATATTTTCACTTAATAATTTAAAAAATTAATATTTTAAAATATTATATATTTTATTTTTAATTTAAATATTATTATAATTAGATATTAAATAATTAATAATTTTTAATTTAAAATATTAATCTTATAAATGTAGATTTATAATTTTCAAAAATAAGACATTTTAGTTTTAAATGTTTTAAACTCTATTCTCGTGGATTGTAGAATAACTAATGCCATGAGAAAGATGGTATTAGCCCTTTCAACGTTTTACTAAGATTTGAAAAATAGAGGAGAAATGGTTAGCCATTCTCCAACCATACATGTTTGGGAATTTTTTTGTGCAAAATGCTGTAGCAAAAAAAACACAGGCAATTGGCTTTTCAGACACCGACGGAAACAAAGGAAAAACAAATTGAAAAGATAGATTTAGCCTTTTCTCTATGAAAGATGAGAAGATGAGGCGTGCCACTGCCCCACAACAAGCAGCCAACCACACCTTTACATTTAATACTTCCCGCACATGGCCTCTTCACTCTCTCAGCTCTTCAACACTCTCTGGCCAAGCTCAATCACCCAGAAGAACCATGCCCTTCCATTTCTTCTCCTTCCTCCTTTTCTTTTTACTCTCTATCTTCTCCGTTCCTTCTCCAGCTCATGCCATATCATTCGTAGCACCCATCGGCAAAGACAATTCCACCCTCCTATACTCCCTCACTCTCTACCTCAAAACCCCTCTCCAACCCACGCGGCTTCACCTCGACCTCGGCTCATCTTTCACTTGGGTGGACTGCGACACGGACTATGATTCCTCCACTTACCAACACATTCCCTGCGGTTCCCCTCTCTGCAGTTCCCTCGGTCACAACCTCTCTTGCTCCAACTGTTTCAACCCTCCAAGCCCCTCCTGCGCCAACAACACCTGCTCCCTCTTCCCCGAAAATTCCATTACCCGAAAAACCGCCATCTCAACCGCCTTAACCGACTCGCTCGCGTTGCCCACTTCGGACGGGTCGACTCACGGCCCGCCGCTCCTCATCCCTGCCTACATTTTCTCTTGTTCTCCGCCTTCACTTCTCGAGGGTCTAGCTAAGAATGTAACTGGATTGGCAGCGTTCGGGAGGTCGAACTATTCGCTACCGGTGCAGGTTAGCGACACTTTCTCCATTCCTCGTTGTTTTGCGCTGTGTCTCCCTGGGTCTACGGCGGATCCTGGGGTGGTTCTCGTTGGATCCCTTGGGCCTTACTATTTCTCGTCTCAAAAGATTGACCTCTCCAAATCGCTTATTTACACTCCCCTGATTCTAAACCCCGTTGGGAGCACCGTTATAACCTACGTCGGCCAACCGTCTGATGAGTATTACATCAATTTGACTTCCATCAACGTGAATGGGAAACCCATTCAGATCAACGGCTCGTCGTTAGCCGTTGATCAGAACGGATTCGGTGGGACAAAGCTAAGCACGAGTACAACTTACACCGTTTTAGAGTCTTCTATTTACAATGCTCTAGCCGACACGTTCGTGAATGAATCCTCTGCATTGAATCTCACGGTAACCAATGCGGTGAAACCATTCAGCGTGTGTTATTCCGCGGCTGATATAATCGTCACTCGCGTGGGACCGGGCGTGCCGACCGTAGATCTTGTGATGCAAAGGGATGATGTGTTTTGGAGGGTGTTTGGGTCGAATTCGATGGTGAAGATTGCGGGAGATGGTGGGGATGTTTGGTGCTTGGCATTTGTGGATGGTGGGGTCAACCCGAGGACGTCGGTGGTGATTGGTGGGCATCAGATGGAGGATAATTTGCTACAATTTGATCTCGACTCCAGCAGATTAGGCTTCACATCCTCTGTTCTGCTAAAGGGTACCACGTGTGCTGATTTCAACTTTGCCACTCAAGGACACTCTTAATGTGCAAACTTTTTTCTTGTTCTTGTTTCACAGAATCAGTTACCAAGTGTAAAGGCAAATTTAAGGTACAACTTGTCTTGTTTTCGTGATTGATATACCAGTAGTAATGTCCCGTGTAGCTTCCTAAAATTTTAATGTCCAATTTTGATGACATTTTCAATTAACTTCCAATGCATATAACGAACCTAAATCATTACGTATTTCTTTTGTTAAATTGGATTGAAAATGAAAATAAAAAAAATGTCGATATCATTCATGAATTTGGATTTTCTTCCCAATTGACCTTAGTAAAAGAAATATTCAATTCATCCAAGATGAAGAATGCATAATATAAGGTCCAGAAACATTCTTTAAAGTGACATCTAATTAGAAGCAAAGGAGAAAAGAAGCCTAGAACCTGAAGACTAGCTTAAAGGGTTTTAGTCACATCATGCTGCGAGCACCAAGGGCGAGGGATTTGCTGCCGGCATTCGTGGCTCTCGATGAACATAGTAGTTTGGCTGTGGAGCAAAGGGTTGAACGTAAGGAGTTGGTGGCGGAGCACAGTTTGGCACTGGCCTCATTGGCTTCTCCACAAATCTGACGCCACAGGGCCCTCCTCTACAAGTAAACTTGACTTCAGGGCCATCATTGCAGCAATGGACTGAACCACCACCAGCACATCACCACATTAATGGTTTTTAAAGGGCAGAGAAGGTGAAGAACATATCGATGTTCCTAGATTGGTTTAACTCCACTTATTTCAAACCTGTCATCTGAGCAAATTCTTCCAGTTAAGCTTAGTTGAGATTTTTTATTGTCACAGTCCAAAACATTAGCATTATTCGGAGTAAATTGTATCTTCTAGCTTTGGTGCTCCGCCTGGTTATGCTCGTTCATCAACTGGGATTTAGCATGCTCCCAGAAAAGTTCTGAATTTTTCCCTGCTCTCTCGTGCATGGTTACAAACAGGCCACCTTGTCCTCATTCGCGTCTGTGTTGATCGAATACACTCCTAAGAAAAAAATAGAATAGAATCAGAAACTCTGGCATTAAGTTACGCATCAAGTTCTTTGATGAAATAGCTACGATACATATTTAACGTATGTCGTGTGCAATATTACAAGAGCTGAAAAGGAGTAATTACCATGAATCGTCTGCTACATTTTCCTCACCTTCTTTTGACAACTCTCACATCTGATGTTCATTTTCAGAACACGCAAGTCTATACCAACAAATAGAAACAGCAAAAATATAACCCAACAATGTTCATTTTCATGAGTGTGGCAAAAATATCAGTCAAAACTGCTTACCAGCAAAATATAAGAGCAATTTGGCTTGGAACTTATGATGGCTACCCAAAGTAACGGCACAGTCCACCCCCTGTATGTTAAACAATTTCTCGTGAGCTAAAAGAGAAATGCAAGTACCTGAATCGGAGAGCAAGCTACATGTCTTGCTACATCGAAAATGATTAAAAGCTTTAGCTAGCCTTCTTGCAACAAGCCCGACCTTGAGAATCAAGAAATTTTAAATTCGTCATGCGAGTTATTGGAAATAGAGCTGCCTGAATTAAGTATATCAATGTGGACAATTTTGCTGATTCTTTTTTATTTATGATATTTTAGAAACGTTGCCAGCAAACCTACCTTGATAATTTATTGAAGGTGTGATTATTTTTGTATATTCATTGATGGTGTTAAGGACACAACAAATGCCGAGATAAGTTTAAGGTCGTGCACACGGATTAAACACTCATGTGGACATTACAACTTTCACTGAGGAAAAGACAGCAAGAAAACCCTCCAAAAACCTGGAAAATAGGAAAATTGTTCAATCATTCCCCCTTCAAACCAGCATGAACTACCCCGTTTCCTGTTACATTCGAAAAGTCACCTAATCCGTTCTGGCATACACAAAAAAACGCAGCTGCCTATGCTCCTTTCCCATCCTTCCCAGGTGACAAACACGTGGAAAGAGGTGCACATCCATGGCCTGTAACCGTAGAAGGAAGCTGGAACCTGGAAGCTTCCAGCCACTGTTTCCATTCCATAGGCGTTTCAATCACACCTGTTCGAGTCCCCAGTTGCCTCAATTTCCACCCTACCCAAGACCTCAAACAAAACAGCTGTCTTTCCTATCATTTTTGGCCTTCATCCGACCCATGCAGGCTTAATAAGTCTGAACAGAATCCCCCACATGCAGCCGGCCTTCCATCAGCCTCTCCAAATACACTCAAGAGGCTTTCACCCACCGGTTAAAATATGTTAAAATAAGAAGTGTAATAAGTATGTTAAAATAAACCATGATATATGGGCTTAGTTTAAGTGATAGAAATATGTAGCATTTGATTATAAATTTATGTAGATTGCAATCTCAATTTCCATTGTTGTACGATTAAAAACCAGGTTATGATAATACTAAATATAAGTTAGAAGCAAAAAAGATTAAACCATAATTCAAAATGTTTTTCCGGCTTCTTTATATTGTACCCAAACGTTCTCAGCTCTCCAGAGTCCAGTCTTTTCTAAGGAGACCATGTAACGAAATGGGAGGGACAGTACATATAATGATTTTGGCCTTTAAGAACACTAAAATCAATTGAAAGGAGACAATCCCCAAACATTCCTCGCAGAACCACTCTCTCATTCTGTTCACAATATTTCAGAACTTAATAAGCCTTGACGATTGAAAAAATAATGGGATGGATTCCTTTTGGAAATTAAAGCATTGGATGGCGGTTTAATGCATTAACGGACAAGGCAATCGAACATAATCCACAACATTTAAAGTTCGTCATATAATTCAAAACAACAATACAACACGGCACAGATAACAGGTGCTAAACATATTAAAGTACAATTATAAATCCCAGCTGCATAGGCACTGCATAAAGTTTTTGCTAATGAGCGCTTTTATTTCAGTTCAAATGATACATGTATGACAGAAATTAACTCCGAATTCTAAACCATAAGAGTGCCTTCCATCACAGTGACAGCTTTTCCCCGCAGAAGCACTCTCTGATTATTCTCATCTAAATGAAGGCTCAGTATCCCACTTCTAGCTGATGCCTGTGCAATGTAATCACAACTTAATCATTATGAGAATAGCTGAACAACACTGTATAGTTTCATACTTTCATTTTAGTTATGATAGGAAGGCAGGGTTAAAGACAAAGAGGGGTACCTGATATGCAATGAAATCACATTTTCCCAGCTTTTGGCTCCAATAGGGTGCCAGGGCGCAATGTGCACTCCCAGTAACTGGATCCTGATAGATATGAGATTTGAACAAGTGATACACTATATGACATATGTAAGTGTGCACTAGTTTTATCCAATCTTTTCTGACAGATGCTGTAAATTCCTGTCCTCTACAGTTATAATGATCTGCCAATGAAGGGTCAGATACAAAATATCTTCAAACATGCCTTCGAGTATAAATGCATGTTTCTCTCCTATCAAAATGAATATTGGTCAGATGTGGCAAAGCCCTCCTAGGGTGATGACTTCTAAGGTTGTTACTGATTCATATGTCTTTCAAGTTGTGACAAGAGGGCATGAAACACAAATATTGATTCACTAATGCTAAAGTTGCTTGTAAGAGATAATAAAAGGTTTGGGATCAAATAACAACATATTACCTCATTTATGCCATATTTTGGAAAGAAGCATCGACTAGCAAAATCAAATCCAGACTCTGGAGGAGCAGCCCCTGAAACAATTATGCCTTCTCCAGTACATCTACGTATGTCATCAATCTGTGGTTGTAGTTCTATAACGGATTTGGCGGATGAGAGCACAACCTGCAAAAGTCAAGGAGGTTTACTCTTTCGTGCTTACAGTAAAACAACAAATAAGTTGACCAAAAGCATAAGCTTAAAACAGCCACACCAAGCAGAGTCCTAAGTTGAAATTTATCATAAAAATGTTTATTTCTATTGAGTTGCTTATGAGATCCAACTTGTTACTGGAAGACATCATGAATATGATCTTATTCAGTACTAATAAACAATCTGTCTCAAAAAGAATCCAACTTGTTACTGGAAGACATCAAGAATATGATCTTATTCAGTACTAATAAACTATCTGTCTCAAAAAGAATACGGTTAGAAAAATGATACAATGCATATGCAAAAGCAAACAAGAGAAAGCCAAGAGAAGTTGAGGAATTACGAGAAGGTCATCAAATGGAGTTGTCCTCTTAATGTCAATAATAGCAGCACCATTCAATGCTTTGGAAATCGCTGAAACCTCTGTAGAATTGAATTCAGTGCTGGGAACTGTAGGAAAATCTAACTCAACTGAAAAGCAATGTTGATGCTCTTCACCATACTGAATCTGGGGGACATCAGTTGGCGCCTTGACAGCTGGACCCTTTTTAGCGGTAAGAATTCCGGATAGTGTATCAAATTCAATTATGTTTGAATTTACTAACCCAGTTGTGAAAAGAGTATATGCAGATGCTAATGTTGCATGACCACAAAGCTTAACCTGCCAAAATGTTTTTAACTGTTGAACGGTAAAAAATTTAAGGGTAATAAATAAATACAAATTCCAACTAGAAAAACTGACCTCAGAAACAGGAGTGAACCATCTAAGACGAAACCGGGGAGTATGGGTGGAGGAGTCACTGATCCGAGTCAAGTAACAAGTCTCAGAAAGATTAAACTCAGCAGCCACAGCTTGCAACCACTGTTCATCTCTGTCTTCCTCCAACAAACAAACCGCGGCGGGGTTTCCCTTGAAAGCCGACTCAGTAAACGCGTCAACCTGTTCAAGGTTGAAAAACTCAGAAACTCACTCGAAGGCAACGCAGTTTCAAGCATGCCTGCCAACACATCTACTACTTAACAAACGAAGAGAGAGAAACAGAGATAATTACCACATAGTATTTGACGGATGTTCTGGCCATTTTATGGAGAAAGAAAGATCTGATCAACTTGTGAAGAAGAGTTCTGCATTTGTAGAAGATGAATCAGGCTTGAAGAAGAAGCAATCAGACTGAAACATTAATTTAAAATGTTAAAAGGCAAGACAGAGGTGGATGACTTTAGAAGTCGAAAGTTTCGAAGAAAGAGGTGGGTTGTGGTCGTGATGTTTCCAGTTGATTCTCTACTTATTTTTTCAATTTTTCCCACATCTAGTTTAACAGCACATGGTTGACGTGTCTCTCCGTTGATTGCTGTAGATAGGCATTTTGATTAATATTCATTCTCTAAAATTATTTTATTACGTAATATTATATAAAGAATAATAAAAACAATCATTATAGTAAAGTACTACTTCACGTAGAACAACTAAAATAGGTAAAGTATTACTTCATGTGAAATAATTAATACAAGTAGAATAACTATTTTGTACAAAATAATAATTTCACACAGATAACAGTAAAAGTAATTCGGAATAGATGTCAGAGTTCAGAGGTTACTTTCATATTGGGATGTTTCGGAGAGTTTGACTTGATGGCTCAGATATAGAGGTAGTTAAGAGGTATCTCTTAACCTTTTCCTGAAGTACAAATATTTTTACTTTTTCCTTGTTCTCTTATACTTGTTTACATACAGCATTTTCTCCCGTATCTGTTCATGTACAACTTCTTCTCTTGTACTTTTTCACGTATAGCTTTTCTTTATTAACTCCTACTTGAGAATAAGTTTTATTAAATATAATTATTTCAATGGTTACATAATAAGTTTTTAACCGTTAACATTAACTCTCAGTAACGGTTACCTAACATTAAAACTCTCTTTAATGATATTATTCATTACGCGTATTAAAACTTTTTTTTGTAACTGTTATTTTTGACACTATATATATAGAGTCTTTACAACTCAAAAAAGGAAACTTTTTCAGAACCACTGGACTCTGACTCATAGCTTTTCTCCTTAGCCTATTCTCACGCAGAACACTTATTCTTTTCTTATTCTCTTCCACCTACCACAGCATTTAGTGTTTCAGGAACTGCTCCAATCTCCCTCTTCGTCACCTCCGGTACATCCTTTACTTGTTTGCAACGCTTCCTCTTCTCATCACAAGAACCCCATTTACATTTTGGCGACTCCACTGGGGAGGAGTGATTGCATTAAGTAAGACTTTTACTGCTATAATTTCTTGTTACTGAAAAAGATGGAGAGTTCCACTAGAAATCAAGATGCCCCTATTCCTTCTTACATTCAGGATCTGATGAACATGATCCAAGTCTCTCAAGAGAGAATGCAAACATTAGAGGACGATCATAGACGAATGATGGACACTATATCTCAACTCAAGTTCTCTACTGGCACTACTTCTCAAACCCAGCCTGTGAATATTAATGAGAGTGCACCTTATGGAGTCACTCATCTAGTTACAAACACTGAGGGGAATGGAGGAAATAGAGAATGTGCAGTTGATGTAGTAGTTGCTGCAAACCCAAATCCTACCAACACCACTACTGTAGTTACCTCAGCAACTACCTCTATAGCGGTAATCTCACCTGCTTCTACTCAAGGATTTGTGACAATGGAAGAGCTCCAAAGGCTATTAAATCAAAAGAACAAGAGCTTGAATTTTTCTGAGTTTGATCTCAAGTTACCATACCCGGCCAGTATAGCCGTAAAATCATACCTTAAAGACTATACTAGCCCTAAGTTCAAACAATTCAATGGAAAGATCGGAGATGCACGTGAACATGTCATGAAATTTGTGAAAACTCTTGGAGTTGCTGGATTAGATGATGACTTGAAGTTAAAAGAGTTATCCAAGTCTCTCACTGAAAAGGCTTATACATGGTATGTTAATCTCACTCCTAGTTCTATTCAATCTTGGAATCAGATGTGTAGAATGTTTGGGAAAAAGTTCTTCTCAACTTAAGAGAAGGTTACTCTCGCTGATCTTGGAAGAGAGTTTCAAAAATCTAAAAAGGATTTAATGGAGTATATCCAATGCTTTAGAGAGAGGGTGCTGGACATTCAAGAGTCTCATGATAAGAAAGAGTTGGTAAAAGTGTGCATTCATGGGATGTTTGATGAATACAGGTTACACTTGGAGAATTTACCTCTTCCAACCTTTGCTACACTAGTGGAAGCTGCATGAAAGACCAATAATACAGTTCTTAGACAAAAGGGACTCGCTCCTTTAGTAGAAGGAATACTCCAACAGTGAATGCCATCCAAGGAGGAGGTAGAGAAAGAAAGGGTCCAATCCGAACAAATTTACACCCTATAAGAGATGTTCCAAGGAGAAGGCCAGATGAGGAGAATGACTCTTCTCCACCATTCTCAGTACCTCTGGATAGAGTGAGAGCTCTTATTCAGGAATGGGTCAGGGATGGACAAATAAACCTACCATACATTCCACGACCACCAACAACAGAGGAGAAAACTAACCCAAGATATTGTGATTATCATCGAGCAATTGGTCATCCACTTTCTGAATGCAGAAATCTTCGGAGAATGTTCAATCGATGAGTGCAAGCAAGAGAGGTATTGATTAAAAATAACAGAGTCCAGAATAACCCTCTTTCTATTCATCCAAATCCTTGAGGGCAAGTAAGTGTAATAATTCATGATCACCATAATGATCCATTTACTTCAAACACTCAGCTTAATGATACAAGTGAAGATATTATGGTTACTTCTTCGTAATGAAAGGCATTACAATCGCAGTATTATCGCTTTTATATTAGTTGTGTTTTACTATTTTAGCCGCTAGTTTCATTGCTTATATCTTTGCTGTAATGATATTATATTTTTGGTAGCAAGCTATATCACTCAATCTTTGACCATAATTCGGTCGCTAGCTTTATCACTCATGATTTGGCTGTAATGATATTATATTTTTGGTAGCAAGCTATATCGCTCAATCTTTGACCATAATTTATCATAATTCAGCCGCTAGCTTTATCGCTCATGATTTGACTGTAATAATATTATATTATTGGTCGCAAGCTATATTGTTCAATCTTTGATCATAATTTATCATTAACGTTTCAACCGCTAGCTTTATCGCTCATGATTTAGCTGTAATTATATTATGATATTGGTCGCAAGCTATATCGCTCAATCTTTGACCATAATTTATCATTAACATTTCAACCACTAGCTTTATCGCTCATGATTTTGCTGTAATAATATTATGTTATTGGTTGCAAGCTTCATCGCTCATCTTTAGCCTTAGCTTAATACTTATAAATTGGCCGTAGCTTTTACGCTTGCTTATTTAAAAGGATGAAATAATCTACTTCATATCAAGTTAGAGTTAATCTCCTTGATGAGAAGTTGATAGTTATCCTTTGGTCGTATACAATAATATGAAATGTGAATAAGTACGCAATAAGCGTATAACATTATTGTTATTATCGTAAAAAGAAAAAAATATATGACATATTAAAAGTGAAGTACTAGCTCGAATGGGTTTCAAAAAAAAAATAAAGGGAAAAGCAAAAGACAAGCCAATTACATACTCCATTAAGAAGAGTTATTATTGGCAAATACATCAAATTGTTCTCGTACTTCAGCTTCACGTTTTTTTAGGGAAGCTATCTTTACTACAATATCTTCTAACTCATTTTCCAAGGAAGACTTGTTGCGAAAAATCTTGGCTTTAAATCTATAATCACTGAGGCAGTCAAGTTTGAATCCAAAGTTACAAGCATCATCGAAATCCTGTAACATCTGTTGTAATTCCTATGAAGAAGTACTCATTAATGGAGTATGGGAAATGGCTAAAGCTCTACCCAACACGTCCATCATTAAGCAAATGACGTCTACATTCTTCACAAAGGAAGTACTCCAAAACTCTCCCTCTATATTGAAAACATGCTCCAAGTATTCCACGTACTCTAATGAAATTTGAAAACCATGAAAGTCAACCTTCTTACCACTTTGCTCAGTATGTGCTACTTGAGTGCCAGAAGCACTACTGGTATCTCTGTGTTTTGGCATTGGGGAAGAATAAGTACGAGGATTAATTGGAGTAGCTCTAGCACCATTAGTATCAACTTCAACAACAGGAATAGCCTCAGTGTCAGGAACAACCTCAACTTCAACAACAGGAATAGCCTTAGTGTCAGGAACAACCTCATCTCGAATTACCTGGAGAGTAAGAACAATCTTAATTTCAAAAAAAAAAAAGAACAAAATCAATTAGGGATATGTTTATACCTAGTTCATAGTGGAGCTCTGAACATGATTTGGAAATAGAACATCCAAATCAATGAAATTATCAAAAGGAGTTAACTCACTCTCAACTTCAACATTATCAACA